CAGATGCTAAAGTTTGATATCTTGGTTTTCTTTAAATAAAACACTGTTTCCATGTCAGTTAGATACATGTTTCTTTAATCCAATTAAAGTGAGCAAGAGTGCGGATATTTACTTATGATTGTATTGACGTTTCGTAAGCATGTGTGGGATACAAAATTATAAAAATCTCCGTTATCAATAAGCTTAGAATATAAAGCTAAGAAAATTATTGACACAAACGTAGCAGAAAATTGAAAGAGCCCCTTGACGTAGGTACATTTATTCTTGCTTAAATGCAAAGGATATTTAGTTCTATTCCGTTATTTTTCGGTTTGCCTTTTCTATTTATATCTAAAGATACTCGTAATATTATGGAACTACTTTAATTTGTATAACTAGTTTGTAGAACTAGTTTCACACGCATGACTTATAATTATAAGTCTTTGTGTTAGTACTGCACGGATATTTCTTCGGTGCTATTACGGGTTGGGTTCTATATTTACATATAAGCCCGATACTTATATAGTATGTATCTAGGTGGTCATAGTCACTTCTAAGTACAACACGTTCTGCATAGTAGATATTTACATTATATTGTATTTTTATTTAGTGTTATAATAGCTAGATGTGTGTTTGTTTAGAGATATTTGTAATATGAATATTGGTACACCGCCAGGTCCTGTTCTGTCTTTTGACGAACTAGATTAGGTCACCTACTGATATAGGTACTCGCGTTTGTTGCCTTACAGGAGGAGAACGACTAGCACAAAGAGAGAATTTTAGAAGCGATCGGAAAAGCCGGTCTCACACTGAATGAAAAGTGTAAACTTTCAAAACCGTCAGCCAAATTCCTGGAACAAATCGTTGACACGTCGGGTTGTAGGGTAGACCCAGATAAAGTTAAGGCTATTGCCGAGAAGATATATCAGGAGTAAGACGTGTTTTAGGAATGGTGAACCAACTTTAAATTTTCGTACACAAGGATCGCTCTGTGAACTACTAAAGACTCAGAATCCTTGGCATTGAGGTATAGCACAAGAAACTGCGTTTACCGAGATAAAGAATGAGCTCGTTTCGTCCGGAACACTTGGACATTATGATCCAAATAAGGACAATGTTGGCATTTGGACTAGGCGCAGGCATAGGTAAAAACATGAAGAAATATTGAAGCCTGTCGCGTATTCGTCGCGCTCTATGTCAGACACAGAGCAGCGCTACTCGCAAACAGAAAAAGAAGCGTTAGATTTGACCTCGGCGTGTGAAAAGTTCAGTAATTATTAGACAGGGAAGATGTTCATTCTTGAAACTGACCACAAGCCGCTCGTACCGTTACTCAGTAAAGGTATAACTGCAGAACTCCGAATTCACCTTTTGAGGTTCGATTTCACAATTGAGCACTTTCTAATTCAAGAATTCAATATCACAGATGCATTATCTAGATCGCCGGTAGACATCCTGTCCGAGTCCAATGAATTCGAGACCGAGACAAAAGACAGTATCATATATAATTATCTGGCATCAGATATGAGACTTCAAAACACGACGCACAAGGATGAAATATGCCAAGCCCTTATGTTATATAGCAAAGAAGGGTAACCAGAAAAATCTAGTTTGAGTGACAGCTTGAAACCGTATTGGAGTCTGCAGGTAGGGTTCACTATCGTTGGAAATATTTTATTAAAAACCGATAGGTTAGTTATCCCACGGTCGTTGCAAGACGAACTATTAGAACGACTTTATGATGGTCGCCAAGACATTGTTAAATATCCATAGTGAGGTGACTTGGCATGAGTACAATAATAGAAAACATGGTCAAAACATGTCAAAAATGTATCGAAAATGCAAAAGATCATGCAGAACCGCTATTGCAGTCGAATTTTCCTAAACGACCATGACAAAAACTAGCGTCCGACTTGTTTGAACTAAATGGGCAGACGTATCTATTAGTTGTTGGTGATTTTTTAAGATACATCGATATAGCAAAATTGTCTAGCACAACTCCTCAGTCCGTCGTGAATAAATTAAATCAATGTTTGCGAGACACGGAATATCGAAACGTTTATTCCGGACGTTGGACCTCAATATAACTCTTTAACATTCAAGCAGTTCGCGCAGTTGTATGGGTTTCAACACATGACGATTAATCCACAATTTTCCCAGTCTAATGGAATATCTGAACAAAATGTTCAAACTATTTAAAATATGTTTTAAAGGACAATGAATTTTAAGTCTTTGCTATCCTAACGAACATCACTGCTTGCTAACGGTTTTAGCACGACTGAACTTTTGATGGGGGTAAGATAAAAACATTGGTACCAGTCGCTCCGAAAAACCTCGCACCTAAATGGCCTAACATTTGCGAGTTGCCGAAAAAGGAAGCTGAATGTAAATTGAAACAAAAAGTATTATGACAGACGACACCGAGTGCGACCATTTTTTAAAGTAAGTTTGGGTAAAAATTCGAAATCAAATGAACCGCATTCATATATCATTGAACCTGACTGTTGTGAATATAATTGGAATCGGCGACACTTTTCCAATTTGCCTTATATGCCTGATACTAAAATTGATAAAAATACTTTTGAAACAATCCCCGATGAAATACCAATTCACAATAATGAACTGAAAGATAACACAACAGATTAATCGGATAAATCTGTTTCGTATGTAACTATGTCGGGGAGAATCTCAAAACCACCAAATCAGTTAGATTTGTAAACACAGATCGGCTGTTCCATTCATGATAACATTTATTAGTTACTATAGCAATAATTTTCTCACAAGTCAAAAAAAGATGTAATATCAGTTCAGTCAATTAGAAAACATCAGGGTGAATATGTTCACTATCAAGTTGAAATTCTTATCAGATGCTAAAGTTACTATGATCTACGTTTTTTTATATGATAATTGTTTCCATGATATCGTCCCTTGTATGCTTTACACTTTATTGTAAACACGTATATATAGTTTATATTAGAATAAAACTCATAACTAGTCTTGTGTATGTATATCAAGAAATACATATTTGGCTCGCCAATATAACAGTTAGTTGTTTCATTCTCTATAAATTTGAATTTTAAACGTTTAAAGTAAGTACAGTTACACGGAAAATATGCGATGGTTCGTTGTTTGTAGTCATTTCACCGTTATCTCATTTCCTGTATTTCAAACTAAAAGTGAAAGTGAAAGTTGGGAATTTATTTTTGGACTTCCCTTTTTTAAATATTTTACCGCGCAATAATCTGTATAGTGTATCTGTGACCGTTCCTGAGGTAAGTCAAATTATTTTATGGCAGCTTGATATACATATTATTAGGTTGCTTTTATCATTAGCGCTTTGGACGACCTGATTTAAAAAAGTAATTTTATTGAATTCTTTGTAACAGGCATAAAATTGAAACAATAACAAGTAGGAATTTTTCTCGAGTCACCATTGTTGCGTTTGTTTCAAAGTTTTTAAAATGAAATTATAGAGTCTGTTTGATAGTGACTTAATCTGAATGGCAAACATATCTTGTTTCAGATTTAAAAATATACTGGCATTGTAAGTGGAAATATAAGTGCATGCTTGGGAGGGCTGCTCAATGTTTTACCTAATCATGCTAATAACGCTTACATAGTTCAACATATCTTTAGTTCAATATAAGGTTATCGTGTTAGGTTAAAACGATAAGTTAGATCAGATTTTTAGCACTTTAAAAGTATAAACCAAATACTTCAAGTAAAAATACAGTTAAAAACTTTGAATTTGCAAATAATGAACGACAATATAAAAATTCAAAATTCAAAAAATACTATGACGCCTTCAAACGGAGCTAGAATAGGAACCTCGACAGGGCATGCGTAAATTTCTTTGCATGCATCACCCACCATGCAATTTCAAATGCAGTCAAAAACATAACTTATCATGAAATAGCAATTTGATAAGCAAAATAAAACAGATACGAAACAATGCTTCAAACATATGATAGATTTTCAGATCACGTGTTTGTGAAATATCTTTTTTAAGTTTTGGTCGACACAATTTTTTTCAGAGCCATTAAAGAACAATATTTAGCAATCCCCCCCCCCTAAAAAATGAAGAAAAAAAGGGTAAAAAAACTAAGTGAAAAAGAAACTTAAAAACGAGCAAATACACAATTAAGTAATCCCCAAAAAAGGACCTAGTAATAAATATGTGAAAAAAAACCTTGGTTTCAGTTATAGCAACATTACATAATTTGATATGGTTAAATTACTGTGTCATATGCATATCCTGTCAGTTTCTTTGAGCAAGCTGAAATGGCAGACATTGTCAATAATAACTCAAACCAAGCTGATGTTTTCCTGCTGATGGTTCATGTATCAACGTCATAATAGCGCAGAAATACCCGAACTGACATACTGTGAGGTTTTGAAACTTAATTTTGTTGTAGGTTTTAATGAAGCATCTTATTGATTTGGTTAAAATTTTTGATAAGCAAATCCATCTTCAAATATGTAAGACTTAATTATGTTCACCGGTCTATAGGCAAAGAATGGTGAATTTAAATTTTATTCAGAAGAAAATGGTTTTGCTTTATAGTTATAAAAATATACACACACATTACATGAAACAAAACAGAGCAGTTATTTACCTTGCTGTATGGGGATTTACTCAATAAATAAATATACGTCATCGGAGACAGCCCATTTGGGGGAGTGCTTTCTGTATAACACTGAAGTCCTCTGCTTTTCTGATTGGTAGATAGTGCTTGTAATAAATATGTTTTGATAGATTGGTAAACACGTGGGTTAAATCAATTATTTTTTTTGCTACATGAATGAAAAGTAATGTGGGTCAGTATAGGAATTTAGTGCGAATCTATAATTTTTGTAAACAAGGCAATGTGAATTGCTCAAAAATGCCGCATGACCCTATGTTTTTATTGTTGCAAAAGATGGGACTATATTTGTTTTTCAATGAATGATATATGAAAGCTTCTGAAGTCTAAAGGTAAACCAGGTATAGATTTAATTCAAGACATAGATTTGCATTAAAGTCAATTGGGAATTTTTTTACCGAATTATCCCGTATCAACTATACATACTTTATATGTAAAATTCCTGCAATTTATAAGAACAGCCATTGCATTTTGTTTTAGAATCATTTCCCGAAAACAGACCTGTCTGTGAAAAGAATGGAGCAAACAGTTCAATCAAATAAATGCAGCGATAGTGAAAAGGGAACGAAAAGGAAATTAAAGGTAACATGATTTTATAGACGATAGTGAAAGTGAAATTTTGGATTTATACATTACACATAAAATGTGTAAGATATTTCTATATAATCCATTGTAAATGTAATGTACCCCAATATTATGTATGATAAGAGATGAACATAGAGTAAATATGGTAAATACGGTTGATATGAATAAAACTTGTGAGATAAATTCATTAAGGAATCGATATTAAACAGTTTGAAAAATTCGAATATGTTAAAAGTATGAAATAAAGCAAGTACATTAAGCATAAAAGACACGAAAGAGTATCCACTTATTCCAAGTGGGATCAGTTAAGTGTATACCACTTTGATTAAATGAATAACAAGGAAGCTTGGCATACATTTAATGAATATTAATGGCAAAGCAACATACACATTTACTTATTATTCCGAAGTTGTTTTGCTTCTGCTTTGAATATGTTGTGGTATTTTATTTAGATTACGCTATTTGAAAGCGTATACCAGTCTAAAATAACATTTAAAGAAAATAGATGTTCAGTCCAGTCCTTTACTATGTTGGGACAAACAAAATGAATTATTTTGATCTAGTGTTATATTCGTGGAGATTGTTGATTATTTTTCTAAAATTGTCTTTTAGATATGCGTGACACAAGCTGTTGTATATTTTATGAGTGTGTCCTATTCTTAATTGTTTTACTATATTTTGGACGTTTAAAAAGCTAACAATTGATAGTTCTAAACACTACTCATGTGAGACCGTATATCTGAAGCTTTCATATAATAAAAATTGTTTGTTACCAAAAAATTCAAAATTAAGATTTGAATGGTTTTTAAGTTATGTACGCATGAGTTTATTGTACATCTAGAAAAATTAAAAAAAATGTTTTAAATATTTTTTTTGCCTATTGCAGCATGATGACATTACAAAATATTTTGCAATCTCAATCCCCTCTTTAATTTTGTCACTTGTCACTACAACTATAAAATATATGATTTAACGATATTTCACGAATTTTGATGTGCATGGAATCATCAGGTTTATTAAACTATATAAAATATACATATAACATTTGAAAAGTTGTTTGGGGATATTGCAGTATAATGACATTTCAAGATCTTTTCACCACTTCCATGTTGCCACCAGTCAGTATAACTACAATTAGAATATTTTCCTAAAATTAAAGAACAGTTTCCAAGCTGGGAAAATAAGCTTATTTTAAAAAGTAGCAAAATACTTATTACATCCAATTATCGGATGATAAAGTATAATGTGTCCGTATTATTCCGTAATCTAGTGTAGTCTACTGTTAGTGGGGAAGGGAGATATTTTGTTTGCATACATTCATTTTGTTTCGTAAATTAAGGCGACAGTAGCTTACTTTAACTTACATAAGTGGAAAGGATTAAACCAAGCAAACACTACAAAACAAAATGTAAATATAAAATTGATTTTAACATTTTAATAGCAATCAGTGCATCATTATATTTCTCCACTAAAAGAATTCAGAGCTGTTACATATTCTCGAAGCTTCTGATATTCCAACACCAATGAAAAAATAAAAAAAGCTGTAGTAGAAATTCAATCGTTTACTTTGATGACACCCATACATCTATAAAAGTCTTCTACAGATACAAGATGAGCAATGTCCATCTGTGAAATTATTTAAAGTGGACGAGAAAAAAGGTGGAGCTGAAATTTCAAAAACAGGTGCAAGAAGAGGTAAATATCCACGCCTTTAACCACTTTCTTCAATTTTGAAATTTGTGAGGGTTGATTATCCTTACTGCCATTCTTTGTAATGCATATCAAACGTACGTTATGCTTAGGTACTGTACATGCATAAATAAGAAACTTCAGTAGTTAATCGATGTTTAAGAAATCCATTATGATTAAACAATAAAACATGAATCTGTAGTTCAGTGATTGTCGTTGATTGCTCTATTCCATTTTCGGTCTTTGTCTATTGTTTTGAATATATAAAATATATATTCTGATGACCTGTCACGTAATGTTGTCATTTTAACGGTATTTGTTAACACTGTCATTTAAGCGGGAGACTTGGCTAGCCACAAAACCAGGTTTAACCCACCATTTATTCTTAAAATGTCCTCTACCAAGTCAGGAATATGGCAGTTGTTATCAAATAGTTCATTTCTATGTATTTGCATTGGCGTTTGTTTTTGTTGCACTTCAGTGTTTCTGTTGTTCCGTTGTTTCCCTCTTATAGTTGATGTGTTTCCCTCGAGTTTAGTTTGTAACCCGGATTTATTTTTCTTTAAATCGAGTTATGACTTTTGAACAGCGGTATACTACTGATGCCTTTATATACATTAGGCTGTTGGTTTTCTCGTTTGAAATATTTTCAATTGTGTCATGTCGAGGCTTTGTATAGCTCACTATATACAGTACGGGTGTGGCCCACTTGTTGAAGGCCGTCCAATGACTTGTAGCTAATTACATCAATGTCTCTGATGATAGTGTTCTCTTTGGCAATCATCCCATTTTTTTTGTTGACAAATCCAGGTTATATATGTAGGACTCAAATCTATGGTGGGTTCCAGATCTATGGCAGATTCCTAATCTATGGTAAATATGACGTCATGCCATTCCAGATCTATGGCAGATTTGTTAAAATCCTAATCTATGGCAAGTTTTGTAATTTCCTAATCTATGGCGGATTTTTGTTGTTTCCAAATCTATGGCAGATTGTGTGCAAATGTAGAGCAAGGCAGTACATATACAGTCACTAACTTGTCTTAAATAAGTTGAAATGTACGACAACGGGAGCATGTCTATAAACATTTGTGAAATAAAAATTCCATAATGGTCAATCAAAGCGTGATGTCAACCATAAAAAAGTGTAGAAGTGATATACCATAATACAGAAATCGGGATTAAAATTATCTTCCCTGGAAAAATAAGCATATCCTAATCTGTGCATGGTACCTGTTTAATCCATTAATTTAAACAACTAGAAAAATGGAAGTCCCTTAACAAACAAGAAAGCAGTTTTTTTTTTATAAAAAACAATTTAAACAGTTTGACTTTTTACATAATATTTATTTCAGCGTTAATCAATCTTTTTTAACTGGTGACGATTTAAGTCAAGTTGGTATCCTGTAATTTCATTTTCTCACTTTAAATACTTTGCCAGCCGTAGACGCTAAAATATTTACTATAACTCCATTCCCAAAATATCCACTACTAAAAACAGCTGTGCCTTTCTTGATCGCGGGATTCGGACGGTACAACAATGAGTGTCCCTCCTATGGATAAAACATCCCATCTTCATTTAAACCATCGGCAAATTGTTCTAGAGGGAAAGCGGAAAGTGTTTTCCTGAGTATTTTAAACTCAGGACTTCAGGAAAGTTTGGAGAGCCCAATTTTTACTGTCGGCGACGACTTATATGGCGTTATTTTATTGTGACGTTATATGTTTCTCTTTTTCCCGGAAAATTACGTAATTCCTATATCTGCCAAAGATTTGGAGAAAACAAAAATTTGCCATATATTTGATTTGTTTGGCGTTTGTAACGTCATATTTGCCATAGATTAGGAATCTGCCATAGATTTGGAACCCGCCATATATTTGAGTTATAAAAAAAACTGAGGAAATCGCATTAACTGTGAAAGCAGCAAGACCAAGCGCGTGAACAGGCTAGACATCTCATGCTATGCATGCATCACATGTCATGCGAATTGACACTCAGTCAAAATGTCACAATCCGGAATAGCACACAATCGGTTAATTTACAGAACAGATGGCTATTCAGATATCTAAATACAATCTTTACCTTAAACTCCAAAAACAAGTTCCTGGTGAGCTGAGACACTGACACATCGTATTGGGCAGCTAGTTCATGATGGTGAAGGTACAACTTGTAAAGTGTCCTTTTTTGTCTTGCTCTTAGAACTCTGTATAAGCGGTTGTTGTGTCAGGAGCTCACCCCTATAAATAAAGTCCAATGTTGTGAAAATGGGATAGTGTAACGTATTAATTCAGATTTGTTAACGCCATACTATCGAGTAGAGGGTATGTTAATGCTAAGAAATGACAAGTTGACAATTGGAATGTTGAAATCACTACGTTTGTCGTGGATTCTAGTTTGAAGTTGTTTATCTGTGTCTAAATCAAGAAAAGGATCAAAGTATGAAGAATACCTTCTCCTTTCAGTTTCATAGTAATTTCGTTATTTATCGACGCATTATACATATGCACATTCATGGATCTACAATCTGTCGATACCTGTATCTTGGCATTGCACAAGGTCATGTTTTTTCTATGGCTGTTTATGACGTCTTTACACTAAATCCATTGGATGTTGGATGTTTAATGATTGATAAGTTAGTCTTAGATGCATGATTTTTTCATTAGTTGTTATTGGCTTTGAACTAGCTGTCAGTATCTGCGAGTACTCTCAGATCTGTACTTAGTAACTTTTTGTTGTTGAAATGTACAATTTAGTTAGTGTTGTTTTTGTTCTGCCTTCTATCAGAAGCAATTGGCATTTATTCAAATTACCGAATACTTCACTTTTTATATTGCGTCCTTGTCCGTTAACTTGTCAGTATCCTGGCAATGCGATTTTTTCGAGAGAAAAGCTGACAACAGCTTAGACATCAAGCTTTATATTCGAATTGCAGTTTTCAGTAATATAATATATTATCGGAAAATAAATGTATATGTTCTCAAATAGAAACTGGTGGAAGTTTCGTCGACACTACAATTATCCTATTCCTTCAGTTAGTCCTATAAATGTGATACTTTCCGATAGTGTTTGTATATCTAATGTGAATATTTGTAATTGCATGTAAGGCCAATTATTGCTGTCTGCATCAGATGTATTTAAAATAAGTTCCTTTGGTTAAATGTTCGCAGTAAAAATTTGGAAATAGCAAAAACTTTATTAAAGTAACAGTTAGTGTTTTTAAATTTATCATTGAAAAGCAATGTAGAAGGATCATTACTGAGTTTGACCGTAAGCTGTTATTCACTATGATACAGGAACAAGACTACTTTAAAAGAAGCGCAATTTGTGCCCAAAAGAATGCCCACAATATGCCGAAACGTACATATGCCTCACCATTGACAAAATAGTCTCAACTTTCAACTTATATTCTATTTCAAATCCTTTTATTCAGGCTCTGGCGGGTCACTAGATATAGCAGACACACATACTTCATAGGTATTTAACAGAAATTTCAAATGGATCATTTGAAACGACATATACACTATACTCATTGAATTGTTGTTTGTTGTTGTGACCTTCAATGAACAAGACAATTTTGGATATATGTATATTTTCAAAGATCCTCTTCAGTTTTGTACAATTAGCAATTGTATTTATGTAAAAATATACTTATTTTAGTTTAGTATGGTATTATTTGAAAGGATTTGATTTAATAGCACTACTTTGATTTTCATAACATAATTAAATTTATAGTTCCCTGCATAATGAAGAAAACAAATATCTGTTTACAGATGAATCATTATTTGACTTATCATACGACAAAGAAGCTAGCAGATCAGCTGTAAGTACAAATATAGTTAATTATATAAATCAAACAATCAAAACATGCATTTTTAAAACAATAACAAGTGTTTTAAGGTGTTTACACGATACCGTGTGAATATTGTTATGTATGGTTTTATTTTATAATGTCAAAAAGTGTCTGAGCAATATTGGCAGGATTCATGTATAGATACTCTCTGTATGCTGTCTCACACTTTAGACATGTTATATGAAGGAATATGTAATAAAAAAACTCAATTTGTTCCAATTGTAAAAAGGAATTCTCTGTAACAATCTACCATGTTGCAGCATGTATAGTGCCATATTTTGTTGAAATTTTGTTTGTTGAAAACAAATATAATGTATCCGAAATTAAGTAGCAGAATATTGTTTATGTCTCTGTTGCCATGGTAACAGGTTCCCTTGGATTTAAGCCCAGAATTGCTTATTATGAGACAAATACATTACCAACGACAAGAAGATATCATACACACATTTCAGTTTGTAAGAATAATGTAACATTGGTTTATGAAAATATAACATTTAATTGGAAAGAAAAAGTTAAAATTAGTTTTACTAAAAAAAGAGGGAAGGATAGATGACGACACAGACTGGTATATAAGGGATTTTCATTGTATTCAAGAAGGCAAATTATAGGCATTTTGCATGAACTTATTACACACTGTTGCATCTGCACCCATTTATATTGTGATTATCAATATATAAATATTACTGTTGCCTAGTAATAATTTATAGCAAAATGTTTTGGCTTCAGGTTGGTAATTTTGGTATCAATTGAAAGCTTAAGGACATGGAATCTGAGTTGAAATTTCCTCTTGAATGATAAATCAAATTTCTGAAATTATAATAGGTAGGAAATAATATATCGCTTTTAGCAGCCAGTATAGTTCAATTTTGTCAAAATAAGCTAAGAAACATTGATGATGAATTATTCACTTGCAAGTGAATAATTCGACCTCATTGAATCCGTATTCAGGTGCACTTCAATTTAGCCCCTTAGCTAGAGATGGATACCGCATGCATTGTGCGTGTTCAAATATTTAAAGGAAAAGAATGTCAACATTGAAAGTGAAACAAAGGTAAATCATTCCTTCTATTTACTTCTCTCACAAAATCCAATTACTTTACCCAAGGTTAAAGGTTAAGGTATTCAATGACATTTGACCTTGAGTCAAATTGATGGTCATTTAATGCTCAATATTTTCACATCATATTTATATACTTATGATTTGTGGTTATCTTAATAACATAGTCAAATTTCTATATGAAAAAGAACAATTGCACCAAAAGCTACCATCCTAACGCCATGAATCGAAAACATGCTGAAAAGAAACATGTTCTTTTAATATCTTCAATTGTGTAAAAAATACGTACAGTTTGTTCATACAAAATATATCTAATTTGCTTTTACAAATAGCATGAAATTTGACCGCTGGTTCTTTTGGTTGTGTCGATATTAAGACAATATATTTTCTAGGTACGACATTGCTGTTTTGTTTTTTAAGTATTTAATTCTGAAAAAGGGACGAAAGATACCAGAGGGACAGTCAAACTCATAGATCGAAAACAAACTGACAACGCCATGGCCAAAAATCAAAAGACAAACAGACAAATAATAGTACAGATGACACAACATAGAAAACCGAAGAAACATACTAGCAAAATACAATAAGTGAAAACTGGTTTTGCTTTAGAATAACTGCAAAGTAGTATTAGTAGCATATAGATCAAGATTTTTGTCAAATACTAACATCTCAAAAATGTACGGAAAACTCCATTGACTAGCAGAATATTTCAGTTCAGGGCATTTTTCATATTTTTTTTTCACTTAATATATGTTTTGGCTAAATTTAAAGAACATCGGTGATCATAAGTCCCTTCGTGAATTGTACGGACGCCATCATGTCGAGTTGGTTGACCGTTATAGAATATCTGTTTCACATATGGCGACGGATATGTTCCAATTGTCGTAACCACTATCACTTCCCTTTCCCCGAATGTGAACTACCGATATAGACTTATCATCGGGTTTGTACTTACATGACCAACACGACGGATGCCACATGTGGAGCAGGATCTGCTTATTCTTCCGGATCACCTGCGTTAATCCCCAGTTTTTGGTGGGGTAATTGTTGCTCAGTCTTTAGTTTTCTATGTTGTGTTTTGTGTATTGTTGTTTGTCTGCTTGTCTTTTCCTTTTTTAGCCATGACGTTGTCGGTTTGTTTTCGACTTATGAGTTTGCATATCCATTTGGTATTTTTCTCCCTTCTTTTTGTAATATTGAGGCATAATGGGGCCTAATCGAACACCTATTCCTTATGACCTATATTCTAGTCGTTTGAGTGATCTGTTTCATGGTTAAAAATTACAGAACATTTAAAGATCAGTTTCAAATTTATTCTCATTCAAATAAGTTTGTCAAGCATTGTTTCATACTTAAAACGTAACAACTCAGTATACACTCTACATTCTCTATTAACATGATATATAACAAAGGTATCAAATGAGCCCAACCCACTTGATGTCGATGCAAAATTCCAACCGAATAACGAGACAATGATTCATTGAATAATATTGACTGCTCCAGTATTCCTTTTTGGCAAACCCAGCCGGTTTTATACAGTTGGCTCGCTGATCCTTATACATTCTTATACATTCTTGGCTTTCAAATATTTGGCTTTGAGCGTTTCTGATGAAGGTATATCAAGAAAAGCGCTCCGGACGCATGCAACGTGTTGTTTTTGTTTGATACTAAATTACACGTGTTATGATCATGGATACTAACATGTGTATTTTTATTATTATCAAGAAAAGATTAAATACATCAATTTCACCAACATGTCGGTCCAGAATGCCAGGTTAAGTATGAAATCAAAATAACATTCTATGCATTATGTGTGCCCGTAGCGCTTTTCTGGATAAACCGTCACCGGGAACGCTTAAACCTTTGAAATAGATATATATATATATATATATATATATATATATGTGTGCGTATATCAGTGTGTGTGTGTGTTTGTGTGTTTGTGCATTGTGAGTAATGTATAACTGCATCGTTTGATTGAAAGTTATATCACAAAAATAAACACAACATGTATTCTGGTTTAAAAACTATTTTTTAATTAAAAATTTGCAGGTTGCTGGAATAACACTGAAAAGAAAGTATTCTCCTATCCTCTCTATTTCTGGGCCAAGCAAGAAGAGTCGCTATCCAATAACTCCCGGGATCAAAGCAATTTCATCTATTATTAGATACGGGGAAGACCATGATGATGTCAGACTATCCATTCTATTCCACGATTGAAACACTATTATGAGAGGGGTTGCTTTCGGAGACGCAGCCCGAAAATTTAAAAACAAATTAAAAGTAGGTCGCACATACACATTTCAGAATTACAAAATTGAAGTCAGTGATAGAGGGTATAGCAACACTAAGTATGAGATATATCTTCTGGAAAAGACTATAGCTACCATCAAGACACTAGAAACAGGATATGCTGAGATACTTAAAGTGAAAGGAAAGAAGATATCAGAAATGAATGAAATATTTAAGAACTTGTTGGTTTCCACAAAAAAGTGAGAATTAGCAAAATTGGAAAGTTGTACAGACCAAAAGAAAAATTTCTTCGAGACGTTTTCGTTAGTGATGAAACAGGAGAAATGAGGATTTTGACGTGGTCATATAAGAAAGCTGAATTTCTTCATAGTGTTGGCGATCATGTCATACTGAGATTTATGACCTTGAAGTACGATGACCAACATTGTTTCCATAAAAAATCTGATAACACGAGGATTGTAAGATGTCAGGCAAAGTAAAATGAAGCATGCTTAGAAAAATAACTACACATGCTTACACACATAAAAAACATAATTATTAGGAAGTTTAGAAAATCATTTTTATTTTCATATTTGGATAGCTAAAATTGACTCTTCTTTCATGCCGAACTTCTTCAATGATGAAAGGAGCATTTGCATTGAATGTAAACATACTTTATGCAAATTAAAACTTCTTGTTTTTACGCTGTATAATTTGATTTGTATTTTTGTTTTCTATTGAAACTCCATTAAGAAGGGAACAACATTAAATCCCGTGGTTCGTTCAAATCTCAGGGTTGGGACAATTATACTGGCTGATATCAGGAAAGGGAGTAGTGCTATCAACATATATCTGACTTAGTAATGACAAATTCTAGCACGAACTATTTTGGCCAGTTTTGGCTTAAAATATCCACAAATATTACGACAGTTAAAAGAAGCAGTCATTAAGATTTTCACATTTATACAATTTTGTTTTTGAAATTAATACCAAACAAAAGTTAGTTCGGATTGGTTGCCTCATAATGTTGTAGGATTCTATTGAATATTGATGAGTTATCGAACCTGGAACACGACAAATGATTAGCGAATGCAATTAAGACAGTGTAGGTCTAGAACGTAGAATTGCTTTTAAAAATATAACAAAACATGCATGTATAAAACAAAAGTCAACATTGTATGTGTAACTAACAACAGTTGGAAGATTTAAATTTTCAGCGTCAATTTATGTTACTCTCACTAAATACTGTAGTTACCTATGTGACAATATCATAGAGGGTAACAATAGATTTTATTATACTTCACGTTAAAATGCCATATTTTGATTGGCTAATACGAGGGTGTTAATTTACTCTATTACCCTTCATAGACACACTTGATCAAGTGTGCGCTTTATCAAATACGACTCTATACTATGGCAAATACTCTATTACCCTTCACGGAGACAATTGATCAAGTGTGCGCTTTATTAAATACGGATGGTTGTTATGTACAAGACGTCATAGTTTATTACTTTGAATTTGAAATTTAATCGACAGTAATAACAGAACATTCAGTATAATAAATAAAATGGCACATATCTGAGAGGGTGATAGAGCCTCAGTTGACAATGTTTTCTCGGGGTAACAATCTGCTCTATCACCCTCTCAGCTATGTGTTATTTATATATTGACATGAAATAATTTATCGTGTAACTGTTATCAAGGGGACCAAAAATAGAACCTGTTTGGTCACATGAATATGTTCTAATGTTATATTTTCCCTTCACATTTTCTAAATCTTGCCCATCAGAACGGATGCTGATAAATTTTGTTCTTAACGAGCCTGTTTCATATTACGTTACACTTTGTGTCATTTTACTAATAAAAATGCAACCGGATAAAAATTCCCCAAAAAAAAAAAATACGTTTACACAAAAAGAAATGTTGACGTAAATTGATGAAGATGGGAAGCATTGATATCCTTTCAGAAAGTTGAAACTTTTACGTATAGTGGAGTTGGAAAACAACAGATTAATACTGTTCGGAGGTCATCTCGATGGTTAATTATATTTAGATAACGTTAAGTCCTAAAATGCGCACGAAATGTTAACATGTTATAGCGATCCAATGCACTTTTTATTGATGAAACTTTAGTTTTCCTTCAGTATGATGATAAGAATACGTTGGGATGAAGTATACTAAAATCTTACGACATCACATGTGTTGTTCTTGATTTCCTGGAATTCAGACAAGAGAACTGTCAATTTAGTTGTAATATCCAGTTTTTGTAAAAATCAATATTACCAGGAATATATATTATACATTTGTAGGTAATATAACATTGAATATAATGAAAAATTGAGCAACCATTGAAAGAAATTTCGACGTTGACTCAAACTTTGGAGGGATCTGCCCTTAAAATATTTAAGAAATGATTTTTACTTAACGAATTCGAACAATTAATCAATATCGATATATTTAGTTGAATATAGCATAGCCTTTAAATTGTCACTGTTAGAAACAACAGGTTCAATATAGCCACTTACCAGCAGAAGGTTGAACTGTTACAGTTGAATAAAGCATACCCTTTTCATTGTCACTGTTAGAAACAACATGTGCAGTATAACCACTTACCAGAAAAAAGGTAAACAAAAAAATGTTTTAGCTGAATGAAACTAAAATCGTTGCAGTTTAACATTTATCTATAGAAATTAACCGAGCCAAGTAATAATCCAACATACGTATTCTAGTACTGAACAGTTTTGCAGGTCACGGCAGATACATGTAAATACTAAGAAATAAGCTCAAACACATCGAACGATTGGAAAACACCTGTCATATTCCTGACTTGGTACAGGCATTTCCTTATGTAGAAAATGGAGTATTCTCTTCCTAAGTCGTGAACATTTTGACAGTTCAATATATATTTTACACTTTTTAAAATGATATGAGTTTAGAGATGGGAATCTGAAATTTAACTTTTCACTCTATTGGGGTTTACATTTCATATTTTACTATACCAGTGGGAAAGCCACAACTGAGAAAGCTAACCCCTTTAGTAACTCTTCGGTCTCACGCCATGACAAGTAAGAATATAAATGGGTAGGGATGTGAGTCAGAACAGTGTTCAAATTAAAGTTATGGAAAATACGGAACATGTTTCCTTAGAAATATAACTATACTGTTTACAAAGGTCTGGTCAAGGCAATCTAGAAAAGCTATAGTTAGCACAGGAATTTATAGCCATTCAATGAAATTTAACAATTTATTACATAACGCGGGTAGTGCATTAATCCTGATGGGGCCAAATTCTAAGATTTTAATATTTTGAAAATGTTCCTAACATTATTTTAACTTTGTTGTCACTTGTGAAAGTCAGATGTCAACCAATATAATAAGCGAATTGTCATGATGGATTGCACTCATGTACTTATTATCATATCCTTGTGGTTAGGAATAGAAAGGATGTGTTCCGGACACACAAAATGTCCAATGCATCACCCTCATTACCTGAGATCAAGGGGGCAAGGACACATGAATATCATGACAATAGAAGCACAGTTTCATAGCAAATTTCATAAGTCAATGTCACAAGATACATATAAATTGTGATATGATTGCCAATACGACAACTGTCCACCATAGATCAAATTAAGTGGATGTAAGCCATTATAGGCAACTGTACAGCCTTCAACAATGAAAATCATAGGAATAGTCGGCTATAAGAGGCCACGACATAAAAAAATATGAAACAATTCAATTGAGAAAACTAACTGCTTAATTATAACAGAACAAATTTATGAAAAACAAATATGACATACATGAAACAACGACATCCACTAAACTATAGGCTCCTGACTTGGGACGGGCACATATAGAATGTGGTAGGGTTAAACATGTTTGAAGGCACCAACACTCCCATAACGTCGAACAAATGTGTAATGGTACAACTCAGAACAATCTATGCAAAACAATCATACGAGAAATAACAATATACGAAAACTACTCAATTACATGCTCTTGACTTGGGACAGGCACATATAGAATATGGAGGGTTTAAACATATTTGAAGGAGCCAACCCTCCCCCTAACCAGGGACAGTGGTTTAACAGTGCTACATAAGAACAAACTTTAAAAATCAGTTACGGCCATCGGGGTGATCTTGCACTGACACACCAAATCCAAGTGGGATAACTATTACTGAACCCGTTGTGTTAAAGACTTAAAAAGGACTTAACTCATCAGATCGATTCAAAACAAGAAAGACGTCACAATCATCAAGAGAAAAATATAACCTTGAACAATGCCAAAATAAAGGCATCGACAGATTGTAGTACGGTGTATGTGTATTTGTGTAGACCAATAATATTTAATATGGTTTTGATTTACTGATACCAAAATCAATATTTATATAATAAAAACCATATTCAAAGATATAATTACAGTGTTGAATTGGTGACCTTTTAGGGTAAGTTTGTTTGAAGGATTGATAAGTTTACCCAGACCATATCTCAATTTCCGGGCTCGGTAAACAACATCACCGTAAAATGAGGATGTGTTTTCCGTCTTAAATATGCACGGCTAAACTTGCAAACCAAATCTTTGTATCTATGAAAACATTTTGTAAATTTTTTTTGGTAATTTGTGGTAACGAAATCTCTTACTTAATTATCTACCAGTTATACATAGATTACGATCATTGAAATCCAAAAGATCACTACAGACACGGGCATAGAAAACGACTTTGGATATATAAACAACGTAAGACGTTGCAAAAAGAACATCACCGTCCCAAAAAGGAAAAAAAGACAATAAGGAAAAAAAAAATCGTCCTTTTTGTCTTAAAATATTTGTGAAGAGTTTCTCATGTAAAACTGCCACACTGTATATCTAAATCTAGGAAAGGACAGTTATTGCTGTTAAAGATTTATTTAAAGTAGGTTCCTTTTGGTAGAGTTTGGAGGTATATTTAGAGAATTCTTGATTATTCAACGAAAATTTTCATCAAGATAACGGTAAGTGTTGTTGAATCTATGATTAAATGGAATTTAGACGGAGAGTTGGCCATAAACTGAGCTTTATTTCAAACAGTACAGGAACAAGTCTGCTATTAAAGTGGCACAACTGGAGCCAGTATGAATACCTACAACCTGTCGATAAGCTGTATTGCCGAAACGTACTTAAATGTTGTCGAGGAGAAAATTTACAACGTCAAACATCTCATCACATATGTAGCATATTTACCTTTCTCCTTTGAGAAAACGGCTTTACATGAGTTGCAACAAGTTTATTTTGCAATCAGATTTTTCAAACGACCATTTGATTAAAAGGGAAACATTTTGTTTGATTAGATATTGTGAAGTTGAAGTATAGTATAAATTATAAACTTGTTTGACATGGGAAAATTAGTCCAGCATTTCCCTGCTGGAAATAAAAAGAATGGTGGATAAGTGAATCCAGTTTGCTCTGGGACATAATATTTTTTAATGATTTGTTTGCAAGGATTTCAAAAAGAAATAAATCCAGGTACTCTTTACCACTTGATATCTACTGAAGTTTCCTTACGACATGGGTCATATAACCATGTCACTCGTTTTTTTTTTATTCGACATTAAAATTGTCAACACGAAATGGTTTATAATCGTACGAGACCAATTTTCACACCCTCTTCATGTGTTTCTGTCATAATCTTCATCAAATATGATTGAGACAAAGTTGTGAAAGCCAAATCGG